TGCGGAGACTGGGGGTGCTGAGTCTCGAGGTGTGGAGATTGCGGGTGCTGAGCCTGGAGGTGCTGCGACTGGGGGTGTCGAGCCTTGAGGCGCTGAGGCTGGGGGTTCTGAGGCTGACCGTACTGTGCCTGTTTGTGCTCCCTCTTCACAGCAGCTGCGTGAGTGGTACTCCCAGCGTTACAGCCTCCGTCGTGGGGCTCCTGGAGCTGAGGGGTCTGCTGGAGTTGGGGCTGGTGGCCCTGCGGGTGTAGTGTCGCAGCCGGAGCCTCCCTCCCCTCAGCGGCTGCGTGAGTGGTACGCTCGGCGCTGCAGCCTCCGGAGTGGAGCTCCTGGTGTTGAGGTACCACCCGCTGGAGGCCCTAATACTGCTGAAGGTTCTGGAGCTGCTGGTAGTGCTGCTGGTGCTGGTGCTGCTGGAGGTGCTGCTGGTGCTGCTGGAGGTACTGGAGCTGCTGGAGGTGCTACTGGTGCTGGTGGAGGTCCTTGAGCTGCTGGAGGTGCTGCTGGTGCTGCTGGAGGTTCTGGAGCTGCTGGAGGTGCTGCTTGAGCTGCTGGAGGTTCTGGTGCTGTCTCTGCTCCTCCTGGGGGCACTTCACGGCCGCGGCCGTACTTCGTTCCGCTCCTTCGGCAGGTTCTTGGTCAGCCGCCTCCTCCTAGTCATCCTCCCTCCTTAGAGTGTCCTCCGCCTGTCTACTCGCTGTCACAGCTACCGCCTGCCTCGCCGCTTCCTGGTCCTTCTCCCTACACTGGTCCGACTGGCAGTCTTACAGAGCGTCGTGAGCCTGAGTCTTGTCCTGTGTCGCCTATGTCTCCTCCTGTGTCACCTGTTTGTGCTACTTGCACTAGTCGTCGTGTACCGCGTGAGCGTCCTCCGCCTGTCCTTGGCACACACCAGATGTCACTGCGTCCTTCCACTTCTCCACAGCGTGTCCCTCTGCCGTCTCCTTCTGCGTCCTCTCTTCCTGTTCTTGCTGACCCAGAGTCTGACGCTCTTCATGCTGCAAGTCCTACTGTCACGCGTCTCCTGGCCACTGCTGTCACTGACCCTTCCTTTGAGTCTGCTGCTGCGTCTGCCCTTGTTGCTGAGCTTGTCGACTTTGCTGCTTGCTGTCGTCTAGACTACGCTGCGACTCTTATTGCTGAGTCTGAGTCTGTCTGTCCTCCGTCCGTCGGGGGTGAGTGTGCTCTAGGCACGGACGTCCTTGAGGACAGACTGGAGGACCTTGAGTGTCTTGCAGCCGTTGCTCCTCATCTCGTGTCCATGCTAATTGCCCCTGAGGGAGAACCGGATGCTCCTAACATCCCGACCCCGCGCTCTTACGCTGAGGCGATCGCGGGTGAGTACTCCTCTTAGTGGCAGTCAGCCATGGACGCAGAGATGGCATCCTGGAAGTCCACTGGCACTTACGTCGACGAGGTTCCCCCTCCTGGGGCAAACATCGTCAGTGGCATGTGGATTTTCAGGGTGAAACGGCCGTCAGGTTCTCCGCCTGTCTTCAAGGCTCGTTACGTTGCTCGAGGCTTCAATCAACGAGAGGGAGTAGACTTCTTTCAGACCTTCTCCCCCACCCCAAAGATGACCACTCTTCGGGTGCTACTACACGTTGCTGCTCAGCGTGACTACGAGCTTCACTCTCTTGACTTCAGCACAGCTTTCCTGTAGGGCAGCCTGCACGAGGAGATCTGGCTGCGCCGCCCTCCTGGCTTCACTGGGTCGTTTCCTCCTGGTACCCACTGGAGCCTCCGGCGGCCGGTCTACGGTCTCTACAAGGCGCCACGTGAGTGGCACGACACACTGAGGACTACTCTTGCGGCACTTGGGTTCGCTCCTTCTACTGCTCACCCGTCGCTGTTTCTACGCACCGACACTTCGCTGCCGCCGTTCTACATCCTCGTGTACGTCGACGACTTGGTCTTTGCCACTGCTGACACTGAGGCTCTCGCCCACGTGAAGTCGGAGCTGCAGAAGAGACACACGTGCACAGACCTGGGTGAACTGCGCAGCTAGCTTGGCTTGCAGATCACCCGGGACAGAGCACGCCGCACCATCACACTGACTCAATCACACATGGTGCAGCAGGTCCTTCAGCGCTTCAGCTTCACCTGGTCCTCACCACAGGCCACTCCTTTGGCTACAGGTCACTCGCTCTCAGCTCTGCCTTCGGATGAGTCCGTAGAGTCGAGTGGTCCTTACCCAGAGCTAGTTGGTTGCCTCATGTATCTGATGACTCGCACTCATCCTAACCTAGCATACCCTCTTGGCCTTCTGGCCTGCTACGTGGCTCCTGGCAGGCACCAAAAGGTGCACTGGGATGCTGCAAAGAGGGTATTGCGCTACTTGTGCAGTACATCGGGCATGGGACTCGTGCTTGGAGGAGGGAGCTCAATTGTTCTCACTGGGCACTCAGACGCTTCTTGGGTTGACGACCAGGCTACTCAGCGGTCGTCACAGGGTTACACCTTCAGCCTTGGCTCTCGCTCAGTTTCGTGGTGTTCTACGCGTTCGTCTTTAGTTCTCAGCTCCAGTTGTAAGGCTGAGATCTACGCCACAGCCATGGCTGCACAGGAGTTACGCTGGCTCACCTACCTGCTGACTGACCTGGGAGAGCGGCCTAGTTCTCCTCCAGTGTTGTACGTCGAGAACAAGGCTGCCATTGCCTTGTGTGAGGAGCACAGATTGGAGCACAGAACAAAGCACATCGCTCTCCGTTACTTCCTGGCTCGAGAGTTGCAGCAGCGCGGTCAGCTTCGTCTGCGTTACGTGGCCACTCAGGCCAACACCGCTGATATATTCACCAAGGCACTTCAGCCTGGTGATCATCAGCGCTTCTGCACTATGCTGGGGCTGGTGCCCACTTTTCCTCACTTGTTGTAGGCTTTGCCTGTACTGTGATCTCTATATATATACACTTGCCCGTTTGCTCTGCTAGGTTGAGATCACCTTGCTGTTTGTGTTGCATATATGCCTCTACATGTGAACTGGCCATGTGGCCCTTTGTTTGTGCTCAGAGTGTATGGTGACGTTGTGATCCACCCTGAGCTTGCTTGCCTTTCTTGACTGGTCTTGTGACCCCTTGCTCTCCCCCAGTTTGCCTATGGGGGTGTGTCAAACACTATATATGTGTTATTGCTGTGTAGGCTATAGTGGGTTAGCCTTTAGGGGGTACACAACTCTAGGGTTTCATACTTGTACTCCAATGTTTCATAGTTCAATCACTTCTTGTTTCTGACAAACGGGTGTGTGCGCCGTCCCCTGCTCCTCCTCCTCCTCCTCCTCCCACTTCTGCAGCTGCCGCAGAGGGGGGTGGATGTGTTGGAGCCGTCGGAGTTGGAGTGGTACCAGGGGGGTGGCGGGTGAGCAGTACTAGGGGAATAGCAAGGGGTGTGTGATAGGGGCGTGGGGCAGTTGGCGGAGGTTGAGCGGAGGTAGTAGTCGTGTCGCCAACAGCACCAATAATCCGGAGGCTAAAATCTCCGGTAGTCGCCAGTCGCCTGTGGGTCAGTTGCTCCAGTCAGGAGGCTACAATCTCCGCGGAGCCAGTTACTCCTGTAGTCTGGGCCATTGCTTCGGTAGCCACTGAGCCAGCAGCTCCTGTGTGTCTGCAGCTTCCGCCGTCGCCTCCCATCTCCTCTCCTCTCACAGTCCCTCCTCCTCCTCACATGCCCTCTGTGACTACCTCTAGCTTTACTTGTGCTTATGAATTATTTTATGACTGCATGCTATACTGATTATACCCCACTTTACCTATGGGGGTGTGTCAGAATGTTGTAATTGTCTAGTCTGCAGTGGGGTACTCTATAGTGAGTATAACCCTGAAAGGGTTTGCTATATGTAGTGCCCTGCTTACTAGTGAAACCTCTCCTTCCTGATTCTATTTTCTCATTCCTCTTTCTTCACAAGCAGGGCGGCGCGCGGCTAGAGCAGGGCGGCGCGCGACCAGAGCAGGGCGGCGCGCGGCCACAGCAGGGCAGTAGCAGGCAGTAGCTCCTAGGGCAAAAGCAGCTAGGGCCCCCTCATTTTTTTAATCATTATTTTAATTTTATTTAGGGTTTAGCAGGGCGCTGGCGCAGGGCAGGGCGTGCGCGAGGCAGCGCGACGCGGAGCAATGCAGGGTGTGTGCAGTGCAGCGCGACGAAAGGTAGTGGGGTAACGGGGTAACCGCAAAACAATCCAGCAGACCTACTGGTCTAAAACCATGTGAAGATAGCAAGCAGGAAATGATTGCATTGAATGAAATGTGGGTACAAGTACTAATCCTAACTTTGGGTTGTACCCCATACGGGCTACCCACTATAGCCTACACAGAACTAACACATATATAGTTTGACAAAACCAACATGCGCCAAAGAGTGGGAGTACTTCAGCCGTTAATTCACACGGTAGACCCAAGAGCAGGCCTAAGCGAGCGATGCATTTCGAATCTTCTGCCTCTCCATTCTCAATCTCCCTCCTCGTATACTGATGTCACCTCATCTGCCCTGTTCCAAAGAGTTCCAAAGGCTTTCTCCATCTTACAAAGGCCTGGCTTTCTTGGCATTGTCTCTTGGTTGTTCAATTCCACTCGCACCAGTTGGATTGGGAGACTGGCAGGTTTATTGGACAATGCAATGAAATAACACATGCTCTTCTAGTTTAAAACCAGTAGGCAATATAGTGACCCCCCCCTTCTAGTTGGGTCCACTTGAAGATGAAGTATTTTTGTTTTGTTTTGGAATGTTGGAATTGCTGTATGTGTGCTTTTTTTTCCGAACCTCGAACGAGTTTCTTATTGGACCAGGAACGATAGTTCATTGACAATTCTGATTGGCAGCCAGGTTCTCTCACATGTACATGTGCGAATTTGGCGCAAAGTTGAGCGACGAGCACTCCTGCATTCACTAGAGCCAATACTTCATCAAATTCACAACTAGCAACATCTCACGCTAAATCCCAAGCAGACACACATGTACGTGATGGGAGTGAAAGTGTTTGAACGTTATTAGAGCTAGTAGAGCTCTGATCAATGTGCTGCCTTGGACTTGAGGCCTGGGAGAGGTGCAATAACGGGAGACAGAAGAGAAAAACAGCACTAGGGGGGAAATCATGATGGGCAAGGTGACGCGAATGAAGAGAAAGAGGGAGGGCGACGGAAAACGGGAGGGCGACGGGAAGGGAGGGCGTAGGAAACGGGAGGGCGATGGAAGAAGGGGGGCGACGGGAAACGGGAGGGCGACGGGAAACGCGAGGGCGACGGGAAACGCGAGGGCGACGGGAAACGGGAGGGCGACGGGAAACGGGAGGGCGACGGGAAACGGGAGGGCGACGGGAAACGGGAGGGCGACGGGAAATGGGAGGGCGACGGGAAACGCGAGGGCGACGGGAAAAGGGAGGGCGACGCAAGAAGGGAGGGCGACGGGAAACGGGAGGGCGACGGGAAACGCGAGGGCGGCGGGAAACGTGAGGGCGACGGGAAACGGGAGGGCGACGGGAAAAGGGAGGGCGACGGGAAACGGGAGGGGGGCGAGAAACGGGAGGGCGACGGGAAACGGGAGGCCGACGGGAGAAAAGATAGGCGACGGGAGAGAGGATAGGCGGCGGGACAGAGGGTGTCGAGAATAGATGGAAAGACAGAAAAAACAAACAAACCAAACACAATAACAGAGTACGGAATGGGTCACGCTGACGCGATAGCAGAGGGAGAACGAGAGAGGCGACGGAGAAAGGAGGGCATACGCGATGGGAGAGTCGAAGGTCGCCGGGAAGGCTATTCGAGGCGAGCAAGAAGGGAGGATGGGAAGGGAGCAGAAAGAGAGAGGGCAATGGGAAGGGAGCGGAGAGGGAGAGCGCGACGGGAAGGGAGCGGAGAGAGAGGCCGACGGGAAGGGAGCGGAGAGAGAGCGCGATTCAAAGGAGGAGCGAGAGAGAGGGCGGAGCTGAGAGAGAGAGAGAGAGAGAGCGATGGGAAGGGAGAGGCGAGAGAGAGGGCGACGGGAAGGGCGCGGAGAGAGAGAGCGCGACGAGAAGGGAGGGGCGAGAGAGAGGGCGACGGGAAGGGAGCGGAGAGAGAGAGCGCGACGGGGCGAACGATGGGAGGGCGATTGGTAGGGAGGGGCGAGAGAGAGGCCGACGGGACGAGAGGAGGGGAGAGAGGGCGACGAAGAGGGCGACGGGACGGGCCACGAGATGGCGACTTGACGCGCGACGGAAAGGGAGACGGGTGGGCGATTTGGCAAACTCGAGGATAGCATAGTGGGCGATGATGAGAAGAAACAAGAATGAATGACTAAGAAATGAAAGTGATACAAGTATGCAACCCTAGCATTGTGTACCCCATATAGGCTACACCACTACAGCCTACACAACATTATAATTTGACACACCCCCATAGAAAAAAGTGGGGGAGAACAAGGGGTCACAAGACCAGTCAAGCAAAGCAAAGCAAGCTCAGGTTGGATCACCAAGTCACCACACATTCCGAGCACAAGTTCAAGGCCATATGGCCAGTTCACATGCAGGAGTACATATATATATAAACGGCTAGACAAGCAAGAGCAGGTGTAAATATATGTAACAATACAAGCAAGGTCAAGAGGAGAGCAAGTGAGGCAAGACAGGCACAAGACCAAGCTGAGTACAGAAGCGCTGATGATCACAAGGCGCAAGTGCCTTGGTGAAGATATCAGCAGTGTTGGCCTCAGAGGCCACGTACGCAAGACGCAGCTGACCACGCTGCTGCAGCTCACGAGCAAGGAAGTAGCGAAGAGCAATGTGCTTTGTTCTGTGCTCCAGTCTCTGCTCTCGACACAAGGCAAGCATGGCCTTGTTGTCTACGTACAGCACTGGAGGAGAACGAGGCACCTCTCCAAACTCAGACAGCAGGTAGGTGAGCCAGCGAAGCTCCTGTGCAGCCATGGCCCCCGCGTAGATCTCAGCCTCACAACTGGAGCCGAGAACAGAAGATGAGCGGGTAGCCTGCCACGAAATAGAGCCGGAACCAAGACTGAAGGTGTAACCCTGTGACGAACGCTGCGTAGCCTCGTCGTCCGCCCAAGAAGCGTCTGCGTGCCAAGTAAGGACCGCTGGACTTCGCCCTCCAAGTACAAGCCCCATGCCCGACGTACTGCACAAGTAGCGCAACACCCTCTTCGCTGCAGCCATGTGCTCCGGTCTTTGTCTCCCAATAGCAACATAGCGTGCAAGAATGCTAAGAGGCAGAGCTGAGAGCGAGTGGCGAGTAGGCAGAGGAGTGGCCTGAGGCGAGGAGTACGTGAAGCCGAAGCGCTGAAGGACCTGCTGCACCATGTGTGACTGAGTCAGGGTAATGGTGCGGCGTGCTCTGTCCCGGGTGATCTGCAAGCCAAGGTAGCTGCGCAGTTCACCGAGGTCTGTGCACGTGTGTCTCTTCTGCAGCTCAGACTTCACGTGAGCGAGTCCAGCAGTGTCAGCTGTGGCAAAGACCAAGTCGTCGACGTACACGAGGATGTAGAACGGCGGCAAAGAAGTGTCGGTGCGTAGAAACAGCGACGGGCCGGCAGTAGAGGGAGCAAACCCAAGAGCCGCAAGCGTAGTCCTTAGTGTGTCGTGCAACTCACACGGTGCCTAGCGGAGACCGTAGACTGGCCGCCGGAGGCTCCACTGGGTGCCACGAGGAAAAGTCCCAGTAAAGCCAGGTGGGCGGCGCAGCCAGATCTCCTCGTGCAGGCTACCCTGCAAGAAAGCAGTGCTGAAGTCAAGAGAGTGAAGCTCGTAGTCATGCTGAGCGGCTATGTGCAGCAGCACCCGAAGAGTGGTCATCTTCGGGGTGGGAGAGAAGGTCTGAAAGTAGTCAACTCCCTGCCGCTGACTGAAGCCACGAGCCACGTACCGCGCCTTGAAGACAGGCGGAGAACCCAGCGGCCGCTTCACCATGAAAATCCACATGCCACTGACGATGTTCGCCCCAGGCGGGGGAACCTCGTGAACGTAGGTGCCTGTGGACTTCCAGGAAGCCATCTCTACGTCCATAGCTGCCTGCCACTGAGAGGAGTAGGGACCCTCTATCGCCTCCGCGTAAGAGCGCGGAGTCGGGATGTCAAGTGCATCCGGGTCTCCCTCAGGGGTAAGCAGTACGGACACGAGATGAGGTGAAGCAGCAGCCAGACACTGGAACTCCTCCTGCCTGTCCTCAAGGACGTCCGTGCCAAGGGCACACTCACCCCCGACGGACGGAGGACAGACAGACTCATACTCAACGACAAGACTAGAAGCATAGTCGAGACGACAGCGAGCAGCAAAGTCGACGAGCTCAGCAACTAGGGAAGACGCAGCAGTGGACTCAAAAGAAGGGTCAGTGACGACAGTAGCAAGGAGACGCGTGACAGTAGGACTGGCAGTACAAAGAGAGTCGGACTTGGGTTCGGCCAGAGCAGGAAGAGAGGACTCAGGAGGAGAAGGTAAAGGGGCACGTAGTGGAGCAGTGGACGGACGTAGAGACATCTGGTGCATGCCAGGGACAGGAGGAGGACGCTGACGCGAACCGCGACCACTAGTGTGAGTAGCACGGACAGGCGACGCAGGGCGAGACGCAGGCTCACGACGCTCAGCAAGACCTCCAGTAGGACCAGTGTAGGGAAACCGAGCAGGCAGTGGGGAGGTCGGCTGTAACTGTAGCTGTGACGGGTCAGGCAGTGGACACACTAAGGGAGGAGGAGGACCAGTAGAAGGCGGGAGACCAAGAACCTGCTGAAGGAGCGGAACGAAGTACGGCCGAGGCCGCGCGGCGACTCCAGTCACAGCAAGGACAGAACCAGTACTCCCAGCGGCAGCACCAGCGCCAGCAGCACCTCCAGGTCCAGTACCTCCAGCAGCACCAGCAGCACCTCCAACACCGACAGCAGTAGCCTCAGCGACAACACCCTCAGTAACTCCAGCTCCCGAAGTACCCGCAGGCCCAGCAGCTCCAGTAGTCCCACTACGAGCACCTCCGGGCCCCTCGGCACCAGTACCCTCAGCAGTCGAAGAACCTCCAGCTCCAGCAGCCCGCCTCCATCGCCGGGCAAACCACTCACGCAGCTCCTCTGGAGAGAGTGGCTCCCGGCGAGACGAAGCACCTGAAGGACCGCCAGACACAGCACCAGCAGGCGCAGCTCCCACAGGCTCCGCACCCCCCGGCTCAGCACCTCCAGGCTCTACACCCCCAGGCTCCGTACCCCCAGGCTGAGCACCTCCAGGCGTGGTACCCCCAGGCTCAGCACCCCCAGGCTCAGCAACCCCAGACCCAGCACCCCCAAGCTTAGCACCCCCAGACTCAGCACCCCCACGCTCAGCACCCACAGAGTCAGCACCCCCAGGTTCACCACCCTCAGCAGCACCAGTGTCACCAGTGACCTTGACAGGCTCGACTGCGTCTACCTGGGACACACCTGAAGGGGACGGACCCTGAGGGGGAAGGGGTTCTACCGGAGGGGGACCTGGGACAAGGAAGAGCGGCGGCGGGGGGAGGGACGGAGTGCGGTAGGGGAAGAGGCGGTAGTAGGGGACCGACTCGTCAAACGTGACGTCCTGGGAGGACAGAACACGGCGAGAGGTGGGGTGGTAGAACTGCCACCCTGGCGCGTCAGGGGGGAAACCGAGGAAGACGCAAGGAGCAGCACGAGGGGACAGCTTGTCCGCAGACAAGTCGCGGACAAACGCCCGAGATCCCCAGACACGGAAAGCAGACGCATCGCCAACCTTCCCCGTCCACAGTAGGGCTGGGGAGGTTTCCGGCCTGGAGACCCTGGGCTGAAGGTTGATCTGATGCGCCGCGTACCGAACCGCAAATGGCCATAGAAAATGGGGGGCAGCCGCATGCATCATGGACGTACGGGCGACGTCCATGACCATGCCAATGCGGCGCTCAGCAATCCCATTTTGCTGTGGAGAGTCCGGAAGCGTGAAGGTCTGGCAGATGCCTCGTGCACGACAGTAGGCTCGCAGAAGACCAGAGGAGAACTCTCCGCCTCTGTCAGAGTGCAGACGCAGAACAGGAAAGTCCGAGCCGAAGCTCTGCCTCAGCTGGAGACGAGCTGCGCGGATCTAGTCGATCAACACCTCAGTGACATCACCCTTGCTGTGCTAGGGGAAGACTGTGGTGTAACGCGAGTAGTCGTCAACCACCAGCAGGAAGTAGCGCTCGTGACCCTGTTCACGGACGCGGGCCGGGCCCCACACGTCCATGTGAAGCGTCTGCAGCGGGGCCTCTGTCGGAGGAAACTGGGAGGAGTGAGGGGCAGCCCGCTGCCGCCCCTCGACACAGGGGACGTAGACAGGGCCAGGCCCCGGAGGAAGGGGAGGGAGGGAGCGGGGAAGACCAGAGACAAGGACACGAGAGGCCATGCCTCGGAGACGAAGCAGGGAGGGGTGACCAAGGCGGTGGTGCCAGAGAAGAGTCTCGTGGGACAGGCAGCGACACGAGCAGGGGGCAGACTCAGGACCAGACCTAGACGCTGCAGCAAACACCTGGCCCGACGCAGCTACCTGACCAGACGCAGTGAGTGAAGGAGACCCATTGGTCAGTGTGTACAGGCTCGACCCTGGCCGACGAGTAAACGTGGCCAGGTGTCGGCCAGTCCGAGCGTCCGTGCAGTGGGTCACCCGCTGGCTCGCAGGAGTGAACTGGTGAACTCCCCCATCCTGAAGGTCAGCGCCACTCACCAAGTTCGTAGAGAACGAGGGGAGGTAAGGACCAGACAGGGTGCCAGAGGGAGCCGCCGGACACGGGAGGACAGTGGAGAAGTGAGCAAGGACAGGACCCCAAGAGGGATCTGCCAGAGAGACCGCAACTGGCCGACCAAGCGGCGTGAGTGTGGTACGGTCTCGAAAGAAGGAGCGAGACGCCTCGGAGTCGAGGGTGAAGGTGAGGGAGGCCGAAGCCGACTCGGTACCTGAGAGCGCGGACTCACCAGCACATGAGGGAGCAGACGCACTAGCACCTAGAGCAGCAGCCTCGCTAGCACCTAGAGCGGCAGCCTCACCAGTACCTAGAGCAGCTGTCTCAATGCCCGGGTCGGGCGGGAAACACCGGTAATAGTCACCCTCATCACTAATAGACACAGCACACATGGCAGCAAGAATAGCATCAAAGTCAAGATCAAAGATAGCTACCCCCGCCCTAGACAGCTCACCCCAGCGAGGGATCTCCGTGGCCTCCGGAAACTGGTGACGCCAAGCGTCCGTCAGGCGGCCGAAGCAGCGCTGGGTGGAGTGCGCACCCCCACAGGAACAGTTCCCACGAGGGAACTTGCTCTGATACCATGAGAAGAAACGAGAATGAATAAGGAATGAAAGTGATACAAGTATGCAACCCTAGCATTGTGTACCCCATATAGGCTACCCCACTACAGTCTACACAACATTATAATTTGACAGATGAGAGGGGTGAGAGGAATGGCGACGGGAATGGGGCTCTCTGTGATCGCGAGGAAAATATCACTACGCAGCAACGGCGACGAAGTATCACAAACAATCTAATGATAATTTCATTTCTATGCCGCATCAGCCTAATCCCTCGTCTCTGGCTATTCTATGCTAGGCAAGCTCCGTGAGTTAGGCAAGCTACGTGAATGGAGTTGAAGTAAGCATATGTGGAACCCAGGCCCAGCTTGGAAGTCGAAGTCGGGTCCAACCGTCAAAACGCACGACAAACAACTGTCGTGCAAATGTCGCATGCAGAAAATGAGAACGCGTGAGCCCGATCTGATTTTTTTTTTTTTGGCGGGAACGAATCACGTGTGTTCAGTCTGTGGAAGGGTGATGCCCGGAACAGTGTTTTACACAGCCCATCGTCGTTCCAGTTTTGCAACGAAGGCAGAATGGTACACCGTCTTGTACTCATTTCATTTTCTTCGAGATCGAATACAAATCCCCCCCAAACCCCTCGCTCCCCTCACTCCCAGGATCACCGCATCATTCGTGTGAGGCGTGCATCAGCCCATAAATTTCCAGCCGCTCGTTCGCTTAGGTTTGTGGCCAACGGCTCTGGGTTTACGAAGCTCGCGATTGCACATTTATGACCTGCTCGAGCGAATGGTCATGAGTTTATAACGTGACGTGGTTTTGGAACTTTCGGCCGTGATGGGGAATCTAGAAACTCAAATGATTTGTCACATGGGTGAACGATGGAAATTGAATCCACGGGTTTGGGTTTCTGGAAGAAAAGGCAAATCTAGTTGCCATCATCCGTATCTACGTCCGATCGAAGGCAGGCAGCTTTCCCGCCAACGGCAGCTTCCTGTCAGCGAGCGAATGCCCGCGTGGGAACAGATGCAAAAAAATCCAGGAACCCCTGACGTTTTCTGTTTTCTTCTCGATCTTGTCCAAGTAAAACAAAATTTGGATATTGTTCACGGTGGTGGTGAGAAGTCGCATTTCTGCAAAAAAAACCTTTTCAAACATGCTTGATAAACGAAAACAGATTGCTTCCATAAGCCATGCAACAGCACATTGGTGATTTATTTGTTGGAATACTGTACACTTCAATTGCTTCTGTGATCATTATTTCAACGAGGACCAAGACCCCAGATTTGCTTCCTCCCACCAGCTCAGTTTCCCAAATCCTGTCTCTTCACCGTCAGTCCTGTCCGCTCTCCAGAGCAACTTTTGTGATGTGCTGCTGATGCTGTCCACTGTACGGTAACGCCAGTCGTCAGACCCTCACAACTTTCTCTTTCTGCTATTCCTGCCACACAAGTGTGTTTCTTACCAGGCGCACACATCCTTCTGAAGCGTTGCGTGTCTCTAGGACTTCGAGGGAGCAGTTTCCGAAGCTACTGAGGTATTTTTTATGTTCTTTTTTTACCGACACCAGCGAGAGACGTGACCTGAAAAGCACTACACGCACATTTGAGTACGGCTGCATAATCTGGTTAACTACGTACCTAAAGGTGGCGTTGCGCTTAAACTTCTCGGCGTGAATCTTGTTAATCGATAATCGTACTCAGTCTTTCCCGTTAACTATTAAAAGGCTCGTTCTTTCTGGCACAAATCGCTCTTAAAGTGAACATTTACGATTTCCATCACAAACGATAATCTGATATTGGGATAAGCCGTCCGATCCAGCAATGGACCCTCTTTCCCGTGTCATCCGAGACGGTGACGTGCCAAACAGCCAGCCTCAAAACACCAACAGCAGTCCCAACCTCCCTCCTCGTTCTACACACCCACACTCACACCCCCCTCTCGCAACCTTCCCTTCTTCTTCGGGAGTATCTCTATCAGCTGTCCCCTCCTCTCTCTCCCCTCTCCCTCTTTCCTCCTCACTCTCCTCCCTCCCTCTTTCCACCTCTCTTCCCACCCTCCCTCTATCCTCTACCTATCCCTCCTTTCCCCCTCCCTCCACCTTCCCCTCCTCCTCTCACCACCTCCTCCCCAAATGGTGGTGCGGCCACCACGCGGCCAATCAGAGCTCGCCATTTGGCAGGCGACCGCAATCCGTAAGCCCCCCAGGCCTCCCCCTTGTCCCCCCATCCGGATCCCTCGGGGAAAGAGGGGGAGCAGGCGGAATGGAAGGGGAGGGGATGGGAGGGAGAGAAGAGGGAACGGAAGGGGGAGAAGGTCGAGGAGGAAGGGGAGGAGGAGGAGGAGGAGGAGGAGGAGGAGGAGGAGGAGGAGGAGGAGGAGGAGGAGGAGGAGGAGGAGGAGGAGGAGGAGTAGGAGGAGGAGGAGGAGGAGGAGGAGGAGGAGGAGGAGGAGGAGGAGGAGGAGGAGAGGGAGAAGGGGGTGAGGAAGAAGAGCAGGTTATAAGCATCAAGCCGATGAGATCTTGGACCCCTTCCGGCAAAAATGAGAAGCAGCAGCAGCAGCAGCAGCACCACCAGCAGCAGCAGCGGCAGCAGCAGCATCTGGACCCTATGGGTTCTGCCTTTGTGCGTGCTCTTTCAGTCAACCGCTCTTTCCCATCCCTCGGCGGCGGCGCAGGCGCTTCAGGTGCAACACCAGCAGCAGCAGCAGCAGCAGCAGCAGCAGCAGCACCAGCTGCAGCAGAGTCACCAGCAGCAGAAGCAACAGCAGCAGCAGTAGCAACAGGAGCAGGAGTAATAAAATCAGACGACGCAACGGGAGCAGCAGCACCATTGGAGGCTGTAACGGGAACAGCAACAGATATGGGGCTAATGGGGAAGATTCCCGAAGATTCTGCGGGAGACAGGGAGAAAGGCAGGGAAGTTCAAAGAGTGGAAACCCGCTGGGGTTTGGGTGCAAGGCTGGGAGGCTCGCCGCTTGCTTTGGAGCGTTCTCGAGTTCCCCGAACCGGAGCAGCAGGCTCGGGAAGGGAGCCGGAGTCTTCAGCCGGAGTTGCTGGGGCGGGTTCATCTGGGGGAGGCGGTACTGAGAGGGATCTGTTCAAGGAGACTCAGGTGTTTCCGCTGGCAGTGTTTAAAGAGCCTGAGTTTTCACTTGGGCCGGGTTCACCCAGGGGAGGCGCTACTGAGCGGGTGTTATTCAGGGAAACTCAGGTGTTTCCGCTGGCGAAAACCCACAGCCCTCTCTCGGGCTTTCTTGCACCTATGGCCGGTGGGAACGAGAGCGGTGCTGCTGCTGGTGCTGGTGGCGGTGGTGCTGATTCTGGTGGTGGTGGCAGTGGTGGTGGTGCTGCTGCTGTTGTTGTTGCTGCAGCGGGTGCTGCTCCTGCTCCTGCTGGTGGTGGTGGTGGTGCTGCTGGCGGCGGTGTTTCTATGGGCGATGGCAGCAGCAGCGGCAAAGTTGACGCCGTTGGTGCCGGGGGAAGGGCAGGAGCGGGAGCAGGGTCGACGGATTTGGGAGTGGGTTTAACAGGAGGAGGGTTAGTTGGAAGGAGTACGTTAATAGGAGGTTTGCTGGGGGGAGGTAGATCTCGGGGAGGGTTACTTGGGGGAGGTACATCCGGAGGAGGGTTACTGGGGGAAGGTAGATCAGAGGGTGGGTCACTGGGGGGAGGTACAACCAGAGGAGGGTTACTTGGGGGAGGTACATCCGGAGGAGGGCATTCGGGGGGAGGCTTATTCGCAGGACAGGCTCAGTTCCCGGACCTCAGCACGCAGCTGGGCCTCAGGTTCGGGCTCTCTGCTTCGGCCAGACCTGACTCCGGCGACAGGAGAGACGGAAATAGGCATGGGACTAGAGACGGGACAACGGAAGGAAATACAGATAGAGATGGAGACAGGGAGGGAGATAGGAGGCGAGATGGAGCCAGGCTTGCAGAGAGCAGGCCGCCAGAGAGCATTGAGTATGAGAGCCGGGAGCTAGCCCGAGCGGTGCAGCAGAACAGAATACTAGAAGAGGAGATCGTACGGCTGCAGGTGCAATCGTGGGAGCTTAAGGAGCAGAACCAGGAGCTGCACTCGCGGGTGGTTCGGCTAGAAAATACTATGAAGTATCGGGAGCAGAGAGGGGTTGGGAGCGGTGCGGGTGGGTGGGTGCAGCCGCAGCTTCAGCGGATGGAGAATCAGGTGGTGGTGCTGACGGGACGGGTGCTGCAGCTGCAGCAGCAGAACCGCGCGGCTAAGGGAGAGATTGAGAGGCTGAGGAAGGAGTTGGATGCGGTGAGGGGGAAAGGGGTGGCGGAGGGGGGAGGGGGAGGGGGAGGGGGGGGAGAAGGGGGCAGGGGAAGCGGAGGGAGGGTTGGAGGGGGCCGGGTGGGGAAGGGTGAGAGGGGAAGGGAGGGGATGAAAGTGGAGTGGGAGAGAGTTGAGATGGATGTGAGTGGAACAGGAGGAGGAGGAGGAGGGAGAGCTATGGGTGGAGAGGGAAGAACGTGTGAACGGGGGATTGGGGGGATGAGTAGCAGAGGGAAGGAGCAGAAGGGCACTGATTTGCAGGGAAGTAAAGCTGATGTTGGTGCTGCTGGTGGTGATGCTGCCGCTACCGCTGCTGCCGCCACTGCTGCTGCTACTGGTCCTGTTGACGTGGATGTTGTTGGTGCTGGTGGTGGTGATGCTGTTAAAACTGCTGTTGCCACCACTGCTGCTGCCGCCACTGCTGTTGCTACTGGTCCTGTTGACGTGGATGTTGGTGGTGCTGTTGATGCTGCTGCTGTCGCTGGTGCAGCTTCTGTGGATGCTGGGGGTGGCAATGCTCCTGATGCTGCTGATCCTGGCAATGCTGCCGCTAGAGGTGTTGATAGGGATCCTCCTGCTACTGCTCCTGCTACTGCTCCTGCTACTGCTCCCCCTACTGCTCCTGCTACTGCTCCTGCTACTGCTCCTGCTACTGCTCCTGCTACTGCTCCTGCTACTGCTACTGCTACTGTGACTGCTTCTGCTGCTGCTACTGCTACTGTGACTGCTTCTGCTACTGCTTCTGCTTCTGCTGGTCCCGCCGCTGCTGCAGCTCCAATCACCACCGCTTTAGCCGCCATGAACGTTCCTACAGAGGTGAGCAGGGTAGAGGAGGCAAGCTCGGGGGAGGGGAAGAGGGGAGGGATGCTAGGGAAGCGAGATAGGGAGTGTCACGACGAGGGGGAGGGGGAAGAAGAGGAGGAGGAGGGGGGTGGGCCAACCTGAATATCTTTGTCACTATGGTGTCGACTCAAAAGTCACCCCGAATGGGGTGTGGCAGAGGCAGGAAAGGGAGTCTCAGGAGGAAAGGGAGGGGGGAGAAGAAGAGGAGGAGGGTGCGCCCAACTGGAACTACTTTGCCACTGGAGGGTGTTGACTCGTATTTCACCTCTAGCAGGGTTTGTCAGAGGCAAGAAAGGGAGTGTCAGGAGGAGGGGGGAGAGGAGGGGGAGGTGGGGGGGAGCGAGGAAGAGGGGGGAGAATTAAGAGAAGGTGGGGGTCCAGCTTGATTACCTTGGTGATTGCTGATTCGACTCGTAGGTTACCTTCAGAGCGGCGCTAAGGAAGCGAGGACAGGAATCTTGGGAGGAGGGGTGGTGGGGGAGGAGGAGGAGGGTGATGGTTGGTCCAACCTGAATATCTTTGTCACTATGGTGTCGACTTAAAAGTCACCCCGAACGGGGTGTGACAGAGGCAGGAAAGGGAGTCTCGGGAGGAGGGGGAGGGGTGGGGAGGGAGGGAGGGGAGAAGAGAAGGAAGGTCCGACTTGAAGGAAGGTGCGGGAGGAGGAGGAGAGCGGCTGTCCAGCTCTGACTAACTTGGCGACTGTGGTGTCGACTCAATTGGAAAGTCACTTCAAACGGGCACCTACGGAGGCAAAAAAGTAGTCTCAGGAGGAGGGATGGGGGAGGAGGAGGAGGAGGAGGAGGTAGGTGGGCCGATTTGAACAGCTTCTGCAGCAAAGCATGCAGCAGAGAGGACGGTGCAGCCGATAGGAGGGTGCAGCAGACAGGAGGGTGCAGCAGGGAGTAGAGTAGAGAGGCTAGAGCATGCAACTATCAGGTAAGTGTAATAAAGAAGTGTGTCACTTGGCTGGTGGGATCAAATGTTGCAGAAGAAAGTGCATCTCAAACGGCTGCAGCAGAGGCTAGAACAGAGAGGTTAGAGCATGCAGCTGTCAGGTTAGTGCACTAGGGATCAGAGTGTCTTGCTTGGCTGGTAGGATCGGGCAGACGGGAGTGCAGTTGGAGTGGGTGCAGCAGAGGCTGGCGCAGAAGCTTGGACGTGTGGTGTGATACATCCTAAAAAAATAAATATTGCTCTTTGCACTTCTTTTTTGCTCTTTTTGTATTCATATAATATAGTTATTTGCTGCAAGGCCTGCTCTTTCAGTGCTTCGGTGTGCATTCAGAGGACCTTTCTATATTACTGATCATTGCTGAGTTTTTGGGCTTGTTACAGGTCTAGCTCTCTCAGGACAGGGAGAGCTCTAGTAAGGCTACTTAGGGCGTGTTCCTACGGGCTAGCCTCGTATCAGTAAAGAAATTTCTCAAACTTCACGTTATAAAACACCTCGTATCAGGATTGTTCTGAATCAGCGCACCAATCATATCGCTCGCACAACATCGCTCGAACGTGGAGAATCCCCCGGGCACGGTTCCCTTTGATGGGCAGCCGTTTGCCCTGTTTTTGCGGCCGACAATCATCCCTGCTCGGTTTCGTAACGTGGCATTGGAGCGCTGCGCATGAACGTGCAGACTTTTCACAAACAAGGAACATCAGCATTGACTTTCCGAGGCGCGATGTTCAGCTGCGGCAAAGCACGCACAATGCTGGTTCGTAACAAGACACATCAGCATTGACTTTCGGTCGCATGTATGGGTTAGCCGTCAACTTTTCCTGATACGAGGTTCTAGCGAGTTGGCCAATTTACAGGCGAGGAGTACCAATCTGATACGAGGTGCCCCTGACAGGAGGTCGTAGGAACACGCTCTTAGAGCAACCGTGCAGACGTGGTGCGGCAAATGGGTTCAACAAATGAAACGAGCTCAAATGCATTGAGTGGGGCCACGGTTGTAAAGAACGAGAAATGTTGGTGGACGTGGTGTGACATGGCTGAGTTCCACGAGAGTCCTTCTGTTCGGTCATGCAGAACGAGGTCGAGAGAGGTAGTACTGATACCAAAACGCATGCTTGTCATGTCACCATCCATCGTCGCTGCAATTCTATGCTTCCACGTTGTTTGTGAAACAAGCACCGTTCGCATTACATGTGAAGGTATTAAGGGCGTGTTTCTACGGCCTCATATCAGGAAACCTCGTACCAAGAATGTACTTTTTGCCTACTAAAACTAGTGAGGGGTTTTGGGTCTAGGGGAATTTTCAGTGTGAGCCTGATACGAGGTTCTCTTGATACGAGGTGTAGGAACTTTCTATAAGGAAAGGGAAAGCCCCCTCCGATTGCTACCTGTCGCATCACAAGGTCACAGGGCAAATTTGACCGGAGCTAAAGAGGCATTGGTTGCCTAAGTCAGCAATGATCAAGGGGTGGTAGAAACTTGATATCGCCAGCAGCTTCATCTCTACAGTGCATAGTTAGTGGGAGTCCCTTCCCCCCTTTGAAGACTTTGTTTATAATGATTGACGTCGTATGCATTAAGAAAATGCTATTGATGAACTTATTGGGTGTGATTCTGGTAGAGCCTTACCACCGCAATAATTACCATACGTACCCTTGATTACTGAGTGGTTGGAGAAAAGTATGCTAATGCTGTACACCCACGGGACAGGATCCATACTATTTAGGAAATGTCAGTGCATGCTGGTACATAACATTATCACAGAATGGAACGTTTGATGGTACACAGTAACCAGTGTCTCAGGCACTAATGCAAGCAAGCAAATAATGCTGGGCAGAAGCAAGGCCCTATAGACGCCTTTCATGTGTGGAAATTAGGTGTGTATTTCACCATGCTGTTGTGGAGGATGTCTTTGCCGAGAAAAATGCAAAGCACGGCCTCTGCAGGGCTGGATCCCAAATTTGCGCCGCAATTCCAGCTGATTACAACCACCCGCGTACGCGTTTTTGGATGACCTTCAACTACCAGTAGTGGTGAGTCATGTTCATTTTTGTGGACCTCAGGCGCGAAGTACTTCCCGCCGTAGGTTCTTGACGGAACCTTGAGATGAGCAGGAGCTCCAAGTCCACTCATCCACGCCCGCCACCAACCCTGTTTGACCAGCTCTGTGCTGGCCCACATCTGGGCCAGCGTCAGCACATCGAGGAAGCCTCCAGTGCCCTAACTTCAAGCCACTCATGAGTCACCAGCAAAGAAGTCAGTGATGCCAGCAGAGGGATGAAACCGAGGCCTAGTTTCGCGACCCACGTCATGCTTCCTTTCGTCGTTTTGCGGCTTCCACTTTTGTCGCGATAATCCTGCCGCAATTCCCGCAGCCAAATGAAGCCCAAATTCGCGGATGAATCCAAGGGCCAATGTTGCCGAAAGCACTGCAGCAATGCTGGGGGGCAGCTGGTGTCACAGCACCATCCCTCTTCAGGGCCCCTTTGATTGTGCTGGCTCGAGGCGCACATATGGACCCCTCGAGCCCTCGAGTTTCCCGTCACCCTCTGACCTCCTCCAGCAGACTCCATCGTACTGAAAACCCTTGAAACTGCTCATTGCCCCTTCTCGCCCCTCCCCTCTTCCCCATCGCCCTGAATTCTGGCGGACCAGGCTCGTCCGCCAGTCCTGGCCAAGATTGTTCCTCCTCGCAGGCGCTCACCTGATCCTCCTGGTTGTTCCTGATCACTGCACGAGCAGCGAGTGCGTTGCACAGCACAGCATGCCACGCCGTCAGGTCAGGTTGGGTTCAGCTGACTTTCCATAACGTGATCCTCGGCTCCTTAAATCCCGACTTTTCTGCTCGCTTTACAGCTGCTTTAGGGTTCCGCAGGCGTCGGTCGACGAGTATATCTTCTGGCTTTGGTACTGTTTCGTAGTTTCATCCTGCTCTCAACCTACTCGGTTGTGCTTTCCATTCTGAAGATCTCTGCAACAAATTTCCTTTACACGTTGAGACTGGTTACAGAGCCAGTGTCCTAGAGTTGCTTCTTGTAGGACTTTCGCTCTCTGCACCATGGTTCACACACAGGGGGTACTGACAATCCATCAGCGAGACGTTTCCCCATGTCTCTTTAGAATTTCAGCCGTTCCACGGGCTGACAACGCTTCAGCTCCCAGGCTGTCTCATGGACACTTACGGTCGCCAGTCACAGCGAGACTAGCAGCCACTCCTGAACGGCGAAGTGGCTCAGATTGTTTCAGCGTTTTAGGCATTCCGTCCAGTGCTGGCGCTGATGACATCCGCAGAGCTTACAGGCAGCTCGCACGAACCTACCATCCAGATGCCAATCCCGTTGAAGATACTACTTCCAAGTTCCTTGAAGTCCACTCTGCATACGAGGTCAGTAGGTCATCTCTAGCATGAGACTTTCCTTATTAGCCTCGAGGTTGATTCTAACGTGTGAAACCGTGCTCCTTCCTTTGCCTTTTACAGCTGGCTCTAAAGCGTTGTGAGAGGCGGAGAGCGTCTGTCTCTATGGTCTCGAAATCTCCCGCCGAGCCTTCTCGCAATACACCCACACGGAGAAAAACTCAGCGCAAGGACGATTGGGACGACATTTGGAACGACCTCATGCCATCCAGCCCTCGTCGCCGGCCGTCCCGCCGGAAGTCCACCATGAACTCGCCAAGCTTCATCTGATGCTTCAATTTCAAGCAGCCCAACGATGGCTATCGTCACATGACGCTCTGTGACGGCGTGGCCTCTGGAGCTTGTACAGATACTACACGGTCTCTGGAGCTTGGCTTCAGACCACACCATAAAAGCGTGTCGGATATGACCGTCTCAGATAGTTAGTGCAGAAGGTGCAGTATGTGTAGTACAAAAAGCCTATTTACTTGATTTAATTGACATGTATTGCACAAGATAGGAATTTCATTTGAATGGAACAAACTGTAAAGCAGCGAATATTTTCTGATATGACCACATTATACCCCACGCAAATTAGTCAGCAGCAGTTTTGCCTGGAAAACACACACCAAACAACTACTGAGTGGAAATGACAAAGAAGCAAAAATTGCAACAACACACAGATGAAAGAATACATCACACGCTCACCTTCTCTTTAGCTCTGGGAGTGCCAGTCTGTAGTAGACCATTTACTGAAGGCAACAACGCCTCTCCAAGAATCAACCTCCTGTGCTCCTCATTGTTGCTTGCGATCTGCCATAAAGCAGCAACTGCAAACTCCCTCCCCCTTGGTGTACCTGTCTCCAAAACCTCCACCAAAGCCCCAAGGCCATCATCTTCATCC